ATATAATTTTATTAAAATTATTATAATTTTATTAAATATATAATTTTATTAATTAATATATAATTTTATATATTAAAATTAATATATAATTTTATTAAAATTAAATTTATAATTTTATTAAAATTATTATAATTTTATTAAATATATAATTTTATTAAAATTATTATAATTTTATTAAATATATAATTTTATTAAAATTATTATAAAAATTTATATATTGTACTTTTCATCATCGATTCGTATCTCTTCTCAGACTAAATTCTTCTTCAGATTAAATTCTGTACTTCTGCACTGGACAATTCAAAGGAGAACAGAACGAAGAATTGGCTGCTGATGGGTCAGTCAATCCCTCCTGTAAACAGAACTCTAAAAAATCTCGATTTATATCGTAATGCTGGTCTCGGCTTTGTAACATATTTTCGAGGCGCAACGTGTTATCTGAATCAGTGTCAATGGAAGAAACTACCGGGATTGTCATTAAAAGGCACATGTGTGGGATGCATGTGTATGGTTGCATCGGCGTTTACGAGGAAAGAAAGGCGGGGAGGCGGGACATTAGAAAGGAGGGATCGAAGCAGAAGAAGAGGAAAACGCATTGGGGAAGGGTGACTGCGATTACAATTCACATAAATTTCTTCTTCAGGCTTTACCCGGCTTCGCATCCGATCTGTCAACTGTTGTTCGTCGTTGTTTCACCAGTAGTGCGGTTTCTTTTCTTTCCTACGGTGGCCGGTATCGGAAGAGGTTCCCTGTGAAAATCATGATTTGACCTTGAAGAAAGGGTAGCATGCGGCGGCACCGCGTGAAGCAACAATGGGAGACACTGCGATTGCCTCGCAACATCCACTCCGTCCCTTGGACAATTTGTCTTCTCGCAGCATTGGGGCTAGCCGATACTATTTCGCAAGGCTTGGGTAAATTTCACAAGGGTGAAATTCTATTTAGGTTAACGATATTAAACACATTGTTGACCTAGGTCACGTGTCAACTCGTGTTTGCACTTGCATTGGCTATTTCAATGATGATGTGAAACCCAGGACGATATGGAACATTGCAGAACCTTTGCCTTCGCTTTAAACTTAAATTTTTATAGTCCGAAACATTCCAACCATGACGGTGAAGGATCCTCTGTCTGATCGTCCGAGTGATTTCGAAATAAATTCTAGTGATTGGGCATGTGATAGTTTAGACTCTTCGATGAGTGAGAGTGGATTGAAAATGATGTTACACCAACATTGGAGCATCATTCGAATATTTCGGGTGCAATTGTCGAGTATCAGTGAAGTATGATGATTTCTTTGATTGAGTACCTCACTTGACGTTTATGTCACTGCAGTTCATTATGTATAAATGAAGTTTATTTCGATTGTTTCACTTCCACAGTCAATAACAGCCGGTGGCATGAGATAGCTTCTGCGTAAAAATTGCCGGTCAACAA